AGTTGTTGCCTTGTACCACAAGTCCACAGTTTCCATCACGGAGATCCATGATCCCTCCGGACATGGATGGAAGGTACGACATTGACAGTATTGTAGGTGAAGATGTGTTCAGAACAGGAGGTAGAGGTTGCCCACAGAAACAGTATAAAGTTAGATTCTCTTTTCAGGAACCAGAGGACGACAGCTGGTTTACACGAACAGAACTTGAGACCGCTCCCGATGTAGTTCGAGCATATGAGAGAAATAAGAGGGGAAAGGGTCCAGCCTTGGACTGAACTATTCTCGGAGGACCTCGAATTTAGGGCGGCAGGAGTGAAACGGTTTTCACCTTTGTAGTGCAGCTGCAGATCCCAGGGTTCGATCTCTAGACCTCACCGCACCCGTGTAGAGTACCCCTGTATGTTTGAACCCGTGACCTGTGTTTTAGGAGTCAATTGATGTCTGTCGTAGGTCAATGTAGCTGTTGGGTCTTGAACCGTAGGTCTGTCGAGTAGGGGTCATGATTGTGTAGAGGCTGTAGCTGTAGTAATTCTGAAAGGTCAAGCTCGTAGCTGCTACAGTCCTGAAAGGTCAAGGTCGTAGCTGCTACAGTTCCGAAAGACCAAGTCCGCAGGCTTCCGGAAGGTCCAGAAGTGGCCTTTCAAACGTTGCTCACAGCAGACCAGAGGCAAGTGGGCAAGAGGTGAGTCCAACCTTGCTTACTCAGCGGTACCCAGTCCCAGTCTCACTTAGTTCAGTCAGCAAGTACCATGTGGGACCGTGTGCACCTTAGGCCCGGTGGAAAGGGGCAGACCAGCGACCAACAGAAGTATAAATCAAGAGGCAGCGTCCAGCCATTCATTCATTCCGATGTGAGCCATGCGGAAGCGCTGCCATAGCGTCTTGTGCGAGGTGGTCTGCAGATGCCTGAGGTTGAAGTGGGCTGAAGGGGGATAAGAGTGTCCATAGCCAGCAGAGGTTAGGCGACCATAGCCGCTGTAGCTTAGAGATAAAGAGTTCAGTGTGTGTGTGTTCGGTTTAGAGATAGAGTTCAGTGTGTGTGTGTTCGGTACTGAGTGAGTGTGCGTGAGATATCCAGGGAGATCCAGTGTGAACAGTTGAGGTGAAGAGGGATGTATACGCGCTCAGGTGCCATAGTTAAATTGAAGCGGGTTTGTATCTGAACTGTGTCCTCGCCTTTAATATCTCTCAGCTTTGTGTGGGCGCCCAGCGCCAGCGTGGAATGCCATCTGTCTGTATGCATGCGAGGTGAGAAGTGTGGAATGCCATCTGTCTGTATGCATGCGAGGTGAGAAGAAAGCGAGTCTGATTGCATCTTCTAAAGTAGTACTTTTTCTCCATCCTAAATTTGCAATGCTACACTCAATTGACAAGACAGAAAGGGTATGTTGGGTGTGTCAGACGGTTCATGGCCATCCATCATCGGGTTGTTCTGCACATTGTGCTCTTTGTGAGGCTAAAGCCTCATATGATGTGCAATGATTACTTATTTTGAGTGCGCTTTCATATTTCTGAACTTCTATATAAATCCTACTGCTGAATGAGTTCCGCACCGCATTGCCCCCCTCTCACCCCCCCATGCCGCTTCTTCCATTTCAGGTAGTCGTCGTCAATATGTGCAAAGCACCACTTCGCTTGGAGGATGAACCTTTTTCCGTCTTAGTCAAACCACCACTTCACACTCAGGGAAGGAAAATGAGTGCAAAATTGTAATGTAATACATACAGATCCTCAACTTTCCCAGCATCGGCCAAAAAAGACAACAAATTGTGCCCACGGATCAATTGTGCCCACGGATCAGACATAGTTGTGGTTTAAACCTGTCTGGACTCTCCTTGGATCCTGCATTTGAGCTTGAGTCCTCCAGCCGGTCGATGGTCTTCGAGCATCTTTGTGCTCCGATTACCTAAAGTGTGGCCTCTCAGATCCTTGGCTTTGCCCCCGTGCCATTCGGCCTCTGGACAAACCACCATACAGTGCATCAAATCTTCTGTTTATTGTCTTCACACATCGGACAGATATCATTGCTGTTCGGTTCAGACAGTTTGCTAAGTTCTTGCAGCCATTGTTTGCTGCGTTCCCGCTGACGTTGTCAGACAATGGCGGCTTCCAAACCAGGTTGGTTTATTCTGAAGCTTTTCCAACCTGATTTTACTGTGTATTCCTGTATGTTTGGTTCTCTTTGGTGGTTCAGACCCATTTCTTTTGGGTTAAACTCCAACTCGGTTCAAACTCTGACTGTTCCATACTGTAACGGTGCAGACCAGAACAAGAACCGACTCTCTCACAAAGTAAAGATAGTGTAGCGGAAGACTTAGATACCAATGATCCGAACAATCAATATTGCAATGCAGCCCCGAACATACATCATCATCATCACTCCATGGTGTGAAGGGGTCTGGCGCTCACACAGGAAGAATGCGCCAGCCCCAACCATACACAGACGAAGAAGAGGGGGGTTAGACGAAGAAGAGGGGAAGATGGGAATGTTGTCAACACCAAGTCTTCAGCACAGGCCCAAATAGTCCCTCGTCAAAATGTCTGAACCCCAATGTCGAGTCTGGATCCAATGTCGTCAAGTCTCAAGTCGCAACTCTCTCTCTCTCTCTGTCGTAGTCCGCTGATACTGAGAAGTCAGGTGGTGAGAGGGTGAAGAAGAGATGGTGGACTTGGAAGAGGAAGAACTCTCTCTCTCTCTCTCTCAGTCCGGTACTAACCTGTGAAGCTGGCGCCTTGATGCAGATACCTCGAAGATGGAGCTGGAGCTATGGCGCCACAGGTAAGTCTCGCTGGCCTCCGCCAGCCATCTCTCTCCAACACTACTACTACCACCTACTAGCGCCCASCGCTGAAGACTACTGCTATGGCTACTAGCGCCCAGCGCTGAAGACTACAGCTAGCGCTAAGCTGCTCCTGCAGCGCTCCTCCAGAGTGCTGCTGCCGAATCCTGAAGACTACTCCTGCCTTCTGTCCAACTACCTACCCGTGAAGTGCATGGGAACTCCCTMTGTACTACTCGGCCTGCCTCCTGACTGCCTGCAGCTGCAGGGCGGGGCAGTCCAGGAGGCTGTTCTTGCTTGCCAATGCCGAAGGGAGCCAGGGGATGCCGTTGCAGCTCCTGCTGAGGCTGTTCGTGGGAACAGGCTAAAGATAGCCTGTTCCTGAAACCCTGGTTTTGTGCCTGAGTGTTAGGGCAGGTCGATCTTACGAGGGGCCCGAAAGTGGCCCTCCGTTTCAGGCTGAAAAGACTCAGGGCTGAAAAGCCCTGTTTTAGGCTGAAAACGAAATAGGGCCTGCAGGCCCTCGTTTTCAGTTTTCAGGCTGAAACGACATGGGGCCTGTAAGCCCTTATTTCTAGGCTTTTAGGCTAAGAATGCGGGACGGGCCCTGCAGGCCCGTGTGGCTACGCAGTATGCCACACCCCCCCCTCCTTGAAAGACCGAGCTTACCTGCGAGGGCGAAGCTGTTTGTCTGAGGGAGGGACCACAGTCCGGGTGGGAGGGGCAGGTCGTGAAGGTCCTGAGCTAACCTTTGTCGCTCGTAGTGAACGTAGATCAGCGGTGCGGATGCTTTCAAATCTGTTCCTGAAATCCACCGAGTGTCGTCGGGATCGCATGCTTTGAATGTAACTTTGTACTGTCGAGGCTTGCTGCCGTACTTGCGATCCGTGATGACGCGGTCAACTTCCTGATGACCATCCATAGAAGGAGGGTCCTGCGATCGTCGGCCCGGGAAGTCGTCGCTCTTAGCTGGTGTGTATGTCGCCAGCTTCGAGGCGTGAAAGACTGGATGGACCATCAGATGCGGGGGGATGTTGATCACAAAGGAAGGGCCATCGGGCTCATCGCCCGCGGCTGATGTTACGGGCCATGGTCCAAACCACTTGGGAAGCAGTTCGCGTGAAACATCCTGTTCCAGTGCAAACTCTTCCGCGGAGACCCAAACCAGATCACCAGYGCGGATGGGACATGGCACGCGACGCCTGTTGGCTTGCTGCTGCATGCGGACTTCAGCCTTTTGCATATTCGCGCGGGCTTGAGCCAGCAATTCCCTGTATTTCCGGACGGAAGTGAGAGAGCAAGCGGCGTCAATGTCGGCTGGTCGTGGGAGGAGAAGGTCGGCGAAGATACGGCCTTTCCGTCCACCGTGGTGCAACTCGAATGGAGTCACGCAGATCGCCGAATGCACCGAAGTGTTGTAGGCGAACTCGATGTCGGGGAGGCGGTCAACCCAATCTTTCTGGTCCGGACAGATGAGCGTACGAAGCATCATTTGAGCGGTTTGATGTGCCCACTCCGTTTGCCCGTCCGTCTGTGGATGCCGAGCCGAACTTGGTTTCATCTTCGTGTCGGACTCCTGCATGAGAGCAGTCCAAAATGTCGACATGAAGCGAGTGTCGCGGTCGTTGACTATGTCTTCCGGTACACCGTGGCCGCAAATCCAACCGGTGTGCAAGAGGCGTGCCAGCTCGGGAGCCGTGGAGTAGTACTTGCAAGGGAGAAAATGCGCATACTTACTCAAACGGTCCACAACCGTGAGGATGCCATCGTGCCTGAGGCGATCGCGGGGAAATGGTCCGATGACATCCATGGCAATGGAGAGGCCACGTTCCCGTGGAATAGGCATCGGGCGCAACTCGCTGTAGGGATTGCGATTGCGGGGCTTGCTTCGTCGACAAACTTCGCAAGAGTCGCAATACCGAGTGACATCGGTAATGAGGTCGGGCCATCAGAATCGTTGTCGAAGCCGTGCAATAGTGCGGTTGACTCCGAAATGGCGGCGAGTCGCGAGTCATGGTACTCCCCGAGAAGGCGAGTCCGAAGACAACGGTCTCGTGGGACACACTATAAGTCCTTGCCTCTCGAGTGGAGGAGCAAGTACCCGTCAGCAATGCGATAGTGGCTGGCCGGTGGGTGATCCGAAGATAGTTGCGCATACAACGTGGCGAAGTCCGGATCAGACTCATAGCCCCGGATGAAGTGTCGCTGGAGTTCCTCGTCGAATGCGAAGACATGATGTGTCATAGCGCAAAGATCAGGTCTTCACGAGAGTGCATCTGCTGCGCGATTGGAGAGGCCGGGGAGATGTTTCGGTGTGAAGTCAAATTGGTCGATGAAGTACATCCATCGTCCGATTGCGCTGCTCACCCTATCCTGCGTCTTGTAGTACGTCAATGGGTTGTTGTCCGTGACCCATGTGAACCTACGACGCACAAGGAGGAAGTGTGGCCATCGCTTGAGAGCCATCACAAATGCGAGCAGCTCCTTCTTCCTTGCATCATCAAGAGAATTGATGCGAGGCACTTTGTGGCTGATATACTCCACAGGGAGCCAGTCGTCGCCATCGTGTTGTTCCAAGACTGCCCCAATGCCATAGCCAGAAGCGTCAGTTGTCACTCTCGTAGGCAGGGTGGGGTCATAGATGCTAAGGACGGGTGCCATGAGCATGGCCATCTTAAGTGCTTGGAATGACCGGCGTGCGTCGTCATCGAATACGAATGGCACCTTTGGCGATTGTAATCTCGTCATAGGTGCAACAATCCTTGAGTACCCGGTGATGAATCGCTGATAGTAGCCCGCCAACCCCATGAATGAACGAACGTCCGTGGTGTTGGTGGGCTCGGGCCATACGCGGATGGCCTCGATCTTCTCCGCAAGCGGACGGATGCCTTGCCGCGTCACATAATGTCCCAAGTACTCCAGCTCTTGCCGCGCGAATTCACATTTGTCGCTGTTGGCTTTGTACTTGGCTTGTCGTAGCTGCTCCAAAACGATGCGCAGGTGCTCCACATGCTCGTCCAAACTCCGACTGTACACCAAAATGTCGTCGAGGTAGACAAGTACGAGTCGATCCAGCATGTGTCGGAACTCCGTTGTCATAGCCGCTTGGAAAGTGGTTGGGGCATTCGTAAGGCCAAACGGCATAACCAGCCATTCGAAGTGCCCATATCGCGTCTTAAACGCGGTCTTGTTAGCGGTCCTCCTGCCCGATCTCGAGTTGGTGATATCCCGATTTGAGGTCTAGCTTGGAGAAGAACTTGGCGCCGCCCAGCCGTTCGAGGAGGTCGTCGATGCGTGGAAGAGGGCCGACGTTCTTGACCGTTTGCGCGTTGAGTTTGCGATAATCGATGCACAACCCCAGATCCATGTTCTTCTTCCGGACGAAGAGAACGGTTGTATGGCGATGAGCTAGGTCGAATCCAGCCTTTCTCCAGAAGGTCGTCGAGTTGTGCCCGCAGCACACTTAACTCTTCCTCGCTCATTGAGGAGATGCAACCACGCGGAGGTACAGCCCCGTCCTCGAGGATGATCTCGTGGCGGATGGGCCGATCCGGTACTACTCCGTGCGGGTCGTCGAACACGTCGCCGTAGGCATCGAGAAGTTCGATGATGCGTGGGTTCAAAGATGAGTCCGTCGATGAAGCGTTACGGGGCGGGAGGGCGTGGAGAAAACACACCCCCATCTCCTCGATGTGGTCTCTGATAATGGAAGCTCGCATGCCTGCGGCGGACACCACGTGGCAGCTGATCGAAGGGCGAGGAGGAGGCACCATGCATGGGACTAGTACTCTGTTTCGATCACGAGCGTGAACAAAGCGGCGGTAGAAGTTCACCGGGTGATCCTCGCTTCGCAGCCATGACATGCCCAAGATCATGTCCAAAACATCGAAGGACACCGCCTCGCTTGCATGCGGGGCAAAGTACACGGGGACGTCATCAATGCACCGGTCGATTGACTTGTGCGTGTGACCGTCTGCCAACGTGACTTGCGTAGGCTGGGACTTCCTCCGGACGCGTGGGCCGAGGCCGACGCGTACCATAAAGTCCTAGCTCATATAGTTGCGAGATGCTCCGCAATCGATCAAAGTGTAGCAGGTCGCCTCTTCGATCTGAATGCGTACATATAACAATGGTGCGTCGATGTCGTCGTACCGTTGTGCCTTGAACTCGCGGTCGATCTTCGCAATGTAATTGTGAAGGTCGACAACCTCTACTCCGGCGTCCATCAACGGAGTTGGTACTGCAGTGTGCAAGTAATCCCGCAATTGTGTCGTGAGCACGTTGCAATGCGGTTTCGGCAATCGACCGGACCGGGGAAGGGGCATCCATTGGAAGTCCGCAAACGTCAACGGGTCGAGCTCTTCAAGTCTTAACCATGTCGTCGAATCCCCGACTATAGATGGTGGCGAAGCTGCCGACTCGGTTGCCGATGGTAGTTGAACCGTGCATGCGGTAGACTGTTGCACGTGGAGTGGTTGGTCCAACGGTGGGACCAAGTGGGCAGCATAGTCCTCATAAGTGTACCGAGAACTTGCGACATTCACATCCTCCCCAGATGTGTAGGAGGCCGCTAGCAAGGCGGCCGAATCTGGCGGAGTGAGAGGTGGAGTCGCCTCACCTCCCGCGGAACTCAGTTTCCCGAGTTGATACGAGGCCGAACATCCTCCTTGCCTTGATCCGGGCATTGGGAGGTCTTGTGCTTGGTGCTGTTGCACCAATAGCAACAGCCGTAGCGGCCGCACCACTTGTATTCCGCCTCGGTCAAGCGAAACTTGACCCACGGTGCTGGCTGTCCGTTTTCGGCCGGCGATGCAGTTTTCGCCTTCCCGTTTCCTCGAGACTTGTTGTTGCTTCGCGGCTGGACAGCAGCCACCTGATCTCCCTCACGTGACGCTTGGGTGGCTGCCGGGTCTTCCACAATGTTGTCCGATTGACTGCAGCGACATGCTGCGGCCGCGGACCAATTTTCACCTTCTCCACATAGGTTGGCTGCCATGCTGATTTCTCATGTGCAGCTTCCCTATTGGTCTTGATGATCTCCCTTGCCTTGTCGATGATTTCAGCGAAGGTTGCGTATTGCTCGCAATCACCAAGTGCAAGGCTCAAGGCGGCACATGACCGGTTGTAGAACTCTCGGCGTAGATGCGAAAATGATAATTCTAGATCGGGCGTTGCCGCGATCTTTTGCCATTCCGTGAGCTAGTCGTGTGTTGCTGTGTTGCCTTGCGTCATAGCGAAGAGGCGGTTGATGGCGAGCGTCGGGGCGTCGTCTACGATGAACCGCTTCTTCCATAGCCGTGTTAACTCTTCCCAAGAGATTTTATCTTTTTGATCTGCGACGTCGACGCCGTGGACGGTTGCCAGGTGGCTCAACCAGACCTGGCATCCGCCCTTTGAGTTGAGGAACAACGCGCCGATGTACGCGTGCTTGGCGACGAACAGAATCCGAAGTTGCGTCATAAAGCCCTCCCACCACAGGACCGGGTCTTGATGCGTATAATCATCGAACTTCTCGATTTGGAATATCGGCATCTTGTAATGCTGCGTGGTGTTGCCATCCTTGTTAGGCAGCTGTAGTTGCCGAACCTCGGTCTTCAAGGTGTCCAGCTGATTGCTGATGGTGGCTGGTGCAGCGAAGGTACTGATGTCGCCGAGCATTGCGACTACGTGATCAACTCGTTCCTCCAATTGGCGGACAGATGGTGCACTGCTGGACTCGCCAGCCTCCGGTCTTGGTGCAGTTTGCTCCAAGTCCTGTACACGGGAATCAAGTGCCTGTGCTGCATCCTCGTGCTGAGCCTTGTGGTTCCATAAGGCCCGCTGGAGGTTCGTTGGCTCGAACTGCAGGTGGTTACAAGTGTAAACCAACCTAGTCACGAGTTTGGCCATGAATTCCTTGTGCTGCTCCTCTGGTGTCGCGTCGTCATGCTGCTCAGATGGTTCAAAATGCCAAAACTTGAGCTTTTCAATGCTGGTGGCTTCATGCTGCTGTAGCACATCCTGGGCCTCCTTGCGGCGTGGCTAGGTATGTGCTTCAGCTTCGGCTTGAAGTCGCTGCTTCTCAGCTGTTGCCGCCGCTTCAGCCTGTAGGCGGACAGCCTCGGCTGCCACCTGGCGCTGTTCGTCAGCCTCGATCAGTGCGAGCTGAGTCTGGAACTGCTGTTTGTACTAGGCATTGGACTCGTTGGCCAGATGGCCTGGCATGCCCAGAGCTGAGCCCGTCATGGTGGCGGGGCACTGTTGACGTGGCACTGTGGCATTGCTGACGTGGCACTGCTGACGTGGCACTGCGGACGTGGCACTGTTGCTGACATGGCACTGTTGACGTGGC